TAATAACAAAGGAATAACTTATCTGCCATCAGCATTTATGAAAACTATATACTGTATATATTTAAGTGTGGTGGTATTCATGTTTTATTCTTTGTTCTCCTAACCTCCATCGATCTGTTGTTGTTCCTCTGCAGGAGATAAGGACACTGTGGAACCGGGCAGAGGATTTTAGAAGAAGAAGGGAAGTGCAGCGCGTGAGTAACATGTCTATTGACTGATCGTTTCCACACCACACCAACCACACCACACAGACAACAACACACACACACACCCACACACACACACACACACACACACACACACACCACACAACACACACAACCAGACACAGACACACACACAGACACACACACACACCACACACACACACACACACCACCACCACACACACACACACACCACACACAGACACCAGACACAACAAAGACAACACACACACACCACACACACACAACACACAGACACACCACAACACACACGACACAGCAACACACAGACACACACACACACACACACAGCAGACACACACACACACACACACCACCACACAGACCACACAGACACACCACAGAGACACACACAGCACACACAGAGACACACACACACACACACACACAGACACCACATCACACACACACGACACCACACACACACACACAGACACACAACACCAGACACACACACACACACCACACACACACACACACACACACACACCACACACCACACACACACAACCACACACAGCACACACACACACAGACACACACACACCACCACACAAGACACACACAACAGAGACACACAGATACACACACACACACACACACACACACACACAGCCACAACACATCACACACACACACACAGAGACACACACACACCACACACACACACACACACACACCAGGCACAGCAGACACACACCCACACACACACACACACACGCACACACACACACACACACACACACACACACACACCACAGACACACACAGGCACACCACACACACACACACACACACACAGAGATACAGACACACAGAAACACACACACAGCACACAGAGAACACACACACACAGGACACGGCACACACAACAGAGACACACCTCACACACAACACACACAACACACACCACACACAAACACAACACAGACACACACACACACACACACACAGACACAGACACAGACACACACACACAACACGACAACACACACCACACACACACAGACAGCACAACACAGAGACACACACACACAGAGACAAGCACAGATACAGCACCACACCCACACACACACACCACACACCACACACACACCACACACACACACAGAGACAACACAACACACACACACGACCACACACACACACACACACACAAGCACACACCACACACCACACAGAGATACACACACACACACACACACAGAGACACACACACACAGAGACACACTCACACAACACACACACACAACACACCCAACACACACACAGCAAACACACACACACACACACACACACACGAGAACACCACAGACACACACACACACAAGAGACACCACAGACCACACACAGAGACACACATAAACACACAACAACACACACAACACACACCACACACACACACACACACACACCACACAGCAAGAGTGATGGACTGACGGAGAGACAGAATGCCTGTAGGCAGGTGTGGAATTTTGAATTGGGAGGGGATGGAGGATGAGGGAATAACAGAGTATATTTTGCTGATTTAATGAAGAGCAGCCATGCATGGAAACTAATAATTAGAAAAGTAAATCTCTGACCCTGCTGTGTGTGTGTGTGTGTGTGTGTGTGTGTGTGTGTGTGTGTGTGTGTGTTGTGTGTGTGTGTGTGTGTGTGTGTGTGTGTGTGTGTGTGTGTGGTGTGTGTGTGTGGTGTTGTGTGTGTGTGTGGTGTGTGTGTGTGTGTGTGTGTGTGCTTGCGCAAAGTATGCAGTTGAAAGGACGTGAACGGCACTGCAGCTGGAGAGGAAGAGAGCGGATAAACTGCAGGAGAGACTGGCAGGCAGATCCCTGACCAACAGCAAGACCAGGACACGTACCTGAACGCACCGTTAACACCCTGATGTAATGTCCCATCATGCCTCTGCCTCTCACATGTCCACTAAGCACAGCACCTGTCCACATTTTCTGAACCATATTCAGCCCTTAACAGAATGCTTGATTTAAACAAACAAGGCCCTGGGTCCAAGTAACATCTTTTTTCTTGCAGGTGTTTGAAAGATTCCTTCCTCCCAGCAAAGGAAAAATAAAAATAAACTCAGTGCTTTTTTAAACTGTTCTTTTGACAACAATATCCGGACAACATATCACCACTTTTATAAGACAGACTAGCCTCGCTCTCTTGCCTCTTTCTATATATCTGGGCTATTAGTATTTGTTTGACATTTTTCCCCACAGCACCAACCTGGAAGAATGCTTCCTTCTCACACTTTGTTATGACGAGCTTCACCGCTCAGTCTGACAGCCGAATAGCAATGAGGCAATCCACGTAAGCAGATTAAGTCAAACTATCACCGGCAGAAAAATCAAAGGTTCCCAGAAATGAGCTTTTGGTTCTCCTGTTATTATAGTTTCATCTGTAAGACAAGGCAAACAACAGCTTCACCTCCAATGTCTACAGTAACGTTAACTCCTAACATGAATATGTTCCACTCTAAG